AAATCCAAGTTTATACTAAAAGATAAAATTTCAACATTGTAGGGGATTGGTCAGGTGGTGGGAATAATTATAAAGATAAAGTTATAGGTAATAGATACAAACCTTCTTGGAAGGCAGAAAGTTTTGCAAAAGCCTCAGGATAGGGTTATGGCTGAAAGCAGCCTAATCCTCTTACCTTGAGTTAATAGCTTCAAGTAGGTACAAAAACATGTAAGGGAGTTTATCTAAAGAGCATGCTTACTCATGTGGTCCTAAGACCAACCTTTGATCATTTGTAGTACTGCTCTCTCCGGGGGGATGGCGACCAGATTAATTACCCACAGATATGTTGACTCAAAGCCTTTGTCATTAAATCTATGCTGAATAAAGGCCCACAGGGTCAGCTAGTGAAGGTATGCAGCTGCCACAACCCTTTCTGTGAGTGGCCCGGCCCCCTGGAGCACTCTTTCACTGAATATCGGTGTCTTGAGTATGTTATTCATCCATCGTGCAGCCTGGGTCTGCCGGTCAGACCCCAGTACAACATCTAAGAGGAAATGAAAGTCACAAAGTTATCCCAGTCTCTGCAGTCACTGTCAAAACTTTCGTGAGGAATCTTCCAGGTTTTCCCCTACTTAAAATATATATTAATATTATGTAAGTGGTATTAGTGGCATTTTCGCCCAGGCTGGAGTGCAGTGGCATGATCTCAGCTCACTCTAACCTCTGCCTCCCAGATTCAAGCGATTCTCCTGCCTCAGCCTCCCAAACAGCTGGAACTACAGGCACCCGCCACCACGCCTGGCTAATGTTTGTATTTTCAGTAGAGATAGGGGTTCACCATGTTGGCCAGGCTGATCTTGAACTTCCGACCTCAGGTTATATGCCCGCCATAGCCTCCCAAACTGCTGGGATTACAGGCATGAGCCACTGCGCCCAGCCTCCTTAACGTTTTAAAAAAGGTTAAAAGTATGCTTGGCATATCTTTTCATAGCAATACTTTAAATTGTTCTTACTCTTTTTAATGACAGCACAGAATTTTATCATGTAGCTGTTTTTTGGGAGACGACTGAAATCTTCTTTATCTTCACTGTGGTAATGGAGATGTGGGTGTGTGCAACAGCTAAAATTCATCAAGTTGAACATTTTAAATAGATGCAGTTTATTGCATGCAAAGTATGCCCCAATAAGATGATTTTTAAAAATTATCCTCTTTGAGGCTTGTACTTTGCTTATGTGAAACAAAACAAAACAAAAACCTTGTTTTTGTGCCCAGGAGACACACCCTGACACATCTGGAGGTAGAGGGTCATGCTCTCTGCAACTTACCTCCACAGGCTCTGAAATAACAATAATAGCAGTATATTTACAGATTCACAGAGAGAGAAAGCTATTGTAAAAATGTTCATAAGTAAAACTAGATAAAGAGCAAAAAGAAATAATAATAATGAAACTGCGTCTTTTAAATTTTATCTCTCGGCCGGGCGCGGTGGCTCACGCCTGTAATCCCAGCACTTTGGGAGGCCGAGGTGGGCAGATCACGAGGTCAGGAGATCGAGACCATCCTGGCTAAAACAGTGAAACCCCGTCTCTACTAAAACACGAAAAATTAGTCGGGCGTGGTGGCGGGCGCCTGTAGTCCCAGCTACTGGTGAACCCAGGAGGCGGAGCTTGCGGTGAGATCCCGTAACTACACTTCAGCCTGGGCGACAGAGCGAGACTCCGTCTCAAAAATAAATAAATAAATAAATCTCTCCTTGACTTTTTCTCTCCCCTTTTCTTCCTATCTCTTCCCTCCTTTCCTCAACGCGTCCCCCTATCCTTCCCTCTTTTCTGCATTCTCTGCATTTCATCTCCGGTGTATTCCAGCCTCCAGGCCAACAAACGTGTCCGCGTCCGCCGGGGGCAGGTCACGGAAGGGACGCGAGGCGGTGCTGTCACCGCATTCTGAGAGCCGCAGCGACCTGGGCCCCTTGTATCATTTCAGTGAAGGTCACTCCAGTCTTTGATGGAGGCCACACTCGGAGCGTAAATTAGGATCCTCACTGAAGGGGCGGGACCCTGAGAGGCTTTTTCCTGGCCCCTTAGTTGTGGGTTTTCCTGCGGGCGGCGGAGCCCGTTTCCATCAGAACCGCCCAGAGGCGGCCGCTGCCTTCCAGGGGTGGCGGAGCAGCAGGAAGCGTTTTCGGATCCTGGAATCCGTGGGCGGCCCGTGGGAGGAACTGAGGCGCATTTCCCTACTCACCCGGCTCCGAATCCACCGCGGTGCTGTTTCAAGCGAGTCAGATTCCAGATCGCTCTGCAGCCTGGACTCGGAATTCCTGCCCCGCGGGGCTGCATTTCACAGCGGCAGGTGTGAGTGACCCGCAGCTGGAGACCAGAAGCCTGAAGGCAGCTCTGCCCTCCCCAGCGCCGTTATTCCGTTTCTATATCAGTAAACACGTTTCATTTTCCGTAGACTAGGGCGGGGTGACGGGTGATCCCATTCCTCTCAGTGAACTCCGGGCCGCAGAATTCAAAACGCTTGCGGGCAAGGCCGGGCGCTGTGGCTCTCGCCTGTAATCCCAGCACTCTGGGAGGCCGAGGCCGGCGGATCACCTGAGGTCGGGAGCTCGAGACCAGCCTGACCAACATGGGGAAACCCCGTCTCTACTAAAAATACAAAATTAACCGGGCATGGTGGTGAATGCCTGTAATCCCAGCTAGTAGGGAGGCTGAGGCAGGAGAATCGCTTAAACCTAGGAAACGGAGGTTGCGGTGAGCCGAGATCGCGCCATTGCACTCCAGCCTGAGCAACAGGAAGGAAAACTCTGTCGAAAAAAAAAAAAAAGCTTTCGGGCCGGAGCGCAGCCCCGCCCTGGGTTATGGGAGCGACCGCGCTGGGCCGTTTCTCTTTCTTTTCCGGACCCTGCAGTGGCACCTAAAGTCTGCAAGAAGGAAATCGCCTCTGTGCTCCTGAGTGCATGGGGTATAAGGCAAGCGCTGAGGGAGAAAACGTAGTTGATGGGGCAGAGCAGACGGGGCTGGTGGTGGGGTGGAGGGGGAGGGCTTTGGACAGAAGACCTGGGGGGCTTGGTGGGGGAGGGACGCCCAGGCCTGGGCACTAAGAAGCAACTCCCCTGGAGCTTGAGACCATCTTGGCCTCCCCCAGCCCCGGAGAGGACTGGCTTCATGTCTCCCTGAAACCACTTCTAAATGCCTTAGAACAAACCTTGCATATTTATTATTATTATTGAACTATTAAGTCTTTTTTGGCGGTGAGCTGAATGAGATGCTTTGCTGGAGCTGGCACAGGGAGGAGGTCCTGGAGGGAGGGTAGACACTGTGGAGGGAAGGGCTGGGTCCATCTCCCTCTCTGTCTCTCACTAGACTTACGATCTTTAGCAGTGAAAATAATCTCTCTGAGGTGGGGAAAGGACCCCAGTCCCTGCTGTGCTCAATAAATTATGAGGATCAAAATAAATTATCAGTGAATGTGAATGGGAAAACTAAGAAATTGTTAAAATTCTCAAATATGCTACATTTTAATCCACAGAAAAGTATAGGCTAGGGATCATGGGGGAATAGTTAGTAATGACAGGTATAGTTTAACTTAAAAAAAAAAAAAGTTTGTGAGGCTGACAAAGAAGAAATGGGCACATTTCCTGATCTTGGAGGGTTCACAGGGTAGAATATGGTAGATGACACCTGGGTGTGGTGGCACTCGCCTGTAGTCCCAGCTACTCAAGAGGCTGTGGTGGGAGGATTGCTTGAGCCCAGGCATTCAAGGCTGCAGTGAGCTATAATCACGCCCCTGCTTTCCAACTGGGTGACAGTTGGAATAAAAAAATAAAATAAATAAAAAAAGATTCAAGGCAGGGCACAGTGAGTACTGTCAGGAAGGTTCAAACCACGGGCTAAATCTGTAGTTCTAAAACGACTATACATTGGAAACACCTAGGGAACTTTAAAAGATACTAAGATTTAGGTCCAACCTAGGTTTACTGATTTAACAACCTAGGTTGTGGCTGTGGCCTGGGAACATGGATATTGAAAACTCCAGGTGGTTCTATGCAGTGGCTAGGTTTGAAGACCACTGCCTAGATGTCCCAGCGACTAAGAGATGCACTTTGGGGACAAGGCAATTCTCTTAGTAGAAAGAGGCTTTCCGGACAGCATTCTTACTATTGAGAATTGAGAATTCATATGCCACACAATTTATCCTTTTAAAGTGTACAGCTCAGTGTCTTTTAGCATAATCACAAGGTTGTGCCACTGTCACCACTATCTACCCTGGAAGATTTTTTTCCTTTTTTTCTTTTTTCTTTTCTTTTTCTTTTAAAGGCTAGTCAAGTGAAACACTGGGAGTGAAGAAGAAACAAAGACATCTGTAACTAGTTGTGATCAATTAGTTGTAAACACCACTGCACTCAGACCAGCCTAATTGGGAAGGTTTTAAGGCTATGGTGTGGTCTGATGGGTTCCAAGTCAGAGATGACAGTAACCTGGAAGAGGGAAACTGCTTGAGAAGTGGCATCCTGGTGGGATAGGGTGAGGAGATCCCAGAGCCCACTTTTACTGCAACCCTGGGGAGATGTCACCAGAGAAATGGGGGTGGTGCCAGACAGCAGGTTGTGGCAGCTGTGGTTTCCATGACAGAGTAGAAGCATCCATCATGTGTGACATTCAGCAGATGGGGCGCTGTGGGTAGCTTGGAGCACTCTGGTTGTAACTGAGGCAGGCACAGTGTTTAGGAAGCCTGTGCAGTAATCTAGGCTGAAGGGAGAGGAAAGGCCAGACTAACATTGTGGCTGTGGGATTGAAATAGGGTTGGAGGAGCTGACTTTGATTCCTGGAGATGAAGGGGAAAGAGGAAATCAGAAAGGACCAAGGATGGTGATGTTCTTAAGAGAAACTGAGGAGGAAGAGAGGATGATGTGGTGGGAGATGTGTAGAGAGTCCTTGTAGATCTGCCACATTGGAGGGGACTATGGTCCCAGAGGTACAGATGTCCTAAAACAGGCTGGAAAAAGGAGTCTGGAGAGAGCTTGGTGTAGTGAACCATGGGGAGCCTCCTCGTTGGCCCTGTGATCACCCAGGGACTGAATAGAGAGGCGGCCCTGGGAGACCTCAGACACTTAAAGGATATAAAGGGGTGAAAGGGGGGGCCTGGCTTTGAGTCAAAGGGAGGAGAAGGAGATTATAAAGCTGAAACGTCTAAGAGAGTTTGTGGCCTGAGCTGTTCTACTGGGGCAGGTACTTCTGAGAGGCAGAGGTGGCTGAGATCTGGAAACAGGTCTGCAAATCTGGCCAGTGACGCTGTGCGCGGTTAAGGGAGTGTGTTGGAAGAATAGCCACGCGTTGTCTGTCCCGGAAGGAACAAGCCAGTGAGAGCCGGTCTGATGGGGCGCCCGGCGAATGGGGCTTGGTGAGGCCCGCGCTCCTAGGGGTGGGGGTGTGGGGATGGGTGGTCGCGATGCCGGGAGGGCGGGCAGGGCCCTGGCCGTGCTCATGAAGTTGGAGCTGTACTCTCAGCTACTCGAAGCTCGCCCCTGCTTTAGGCTGCGCTCCCGCGTGCTCCCCTTTTCTGGGCGCCAAGTCCCGCCTTCTAAATCTCCCCAAGTCTCCAGCCCACTGGAATTTTCTCTTCCGAGCGTGGCCCCGCCCTCTCCGCTCCGCTGATTGGTCCTAAGTTCCGGGCCCCAGTTTCATTGGATGAGCGGTCGGGGCCGGGCCAGGTGATTAAGTTTCCGCCGCGCTTTCCCCCCCAGGCTTAGCTCAGTTCGACCCTGCTTGAGCCGCTGAGAGGGTGGGGGCGTCGGGGCCATGGGACCGGGCCGGGTCTTGCTGTTTCTGGCCAGCATATTCCCTTTTGCACGTCCGGGAGCCGCTGCTGGTGAGTGGCGTTCCTGGCGGTCCTCGGCGGAGCGGGAGCAGCGGGGCGTTTCGGGGGGTCGGGTGGGTAGCGGCGAGCGCTGTGCTGTCAGGGCGGGGCTCAGGTGCGCTGTCGGTGGTGCGGGGAGCCGGACGCGGCCGTTGCCGCCACACTTCAGCCTGCTTTCCCGTCTCTTTTCAGTCCTCGGGATCCCGCATCACCTGCATATTCTGATCTCCTCCTGCGCTTGCTCTCCTCGCCTCTCCTCCGCTTCCTCTCACTTTTCGGACAAACCAGTCCTTCTGAGGCCCATGGGTTCCCGGGCTGCCTCCGGGGCTGCTCCTGTGAATGGCATTCGAGGGCTCTTCCAGCTCGGCCACTGAGGCAGCCACAACCCCCCGTGCTCGGGGCGGCTCTCAGGTCCCTGAAGTCCTGTCCTCCCCCGGAGCCGACGTGTTCTCAGCTCCTGGGCCGCAGCTCCTGGATTTGGAGCCCTCCTTTCTTGGGACCCGGAGCTGGTGCTTCCTGCTGTTGTGGGTACTGTGGGGGTTTGGTGTCTGCAGGCTCCGGACAGAGGATTCTTCCTGCGACTTCTCTCATCCCCAGCTCATTTTCCCCTCGACTCCGGCTTCCGGGAGTCCTCTCCTCTCTCGCATCCCACTCCTACTAATGACCAATGATCTAAGGACACCAGATTCCCTCCTACCTCCTCCCTGCCCATCTCAAGGCCCGCTGGGTGCTGTTGCCCTCCCAGCTCCCTGCTACCCCTTCCTGTGTGCTGTTCTCTGATCCATTTCTAGGGTGTCCTCTGCCCTCATCCCCTGCCCCCGCCACCGAAGGTCCCTCCTGCCTCCCTTATGGGCCTTTCCTACAAGCAGCCTTCACCCAGTGCTGCCCCTATGCCTCCTACTCCCAACTGTCCCTGACCCTAAATTTCTGGTGCTGCCTTTTTTCTGGGGGTCTTCCCTCCATCCCACTCCCCTCCAGACCACCCAAGGGGAGCCCTGGTGCTAATGGCAGTTGGGCCTTAGGCAGGGCACAGGGCAGTGCAAATGCCCCCTCCTCTCTAGTGCAGGTGCCTCCTCTGGACTCTGCCTCACGGGGGCCCCTTCCCCACTCCTTCATCCTCAGCCTCACCCTCTTGAGGACCCCACCCTCCAGCCCACAGGTGCTGAACCATCCCTCCCGGGTCCCTCCGCCCCTCTCCACCTTGGGACCTTGCACTGCTCCCACTTCTTGCCCAGCTGCCTTGGGCCCTCAGCAAGTTCTCATCTTTCCCAAGTCCCACCCTCCCCTCCTATCCTCACCCTACCTCAAGTTCTCCCACAGTCACTCCTGGCCCCATGGTCATGCCGCCCTCCAGTTCTTGCTCTGCCCATCTCCCCTCCCCAACCCAGACCTAAAACAGGCCGTTGGGCCAACTGTTCCTTGACCTTCATTCTTTTCTTTTGGTTCCTTGACCCCAGTGGGCTCTCACTCCCTACACCACATATCTAAAATCTGTTTTGCCTGCTCTTGGGGTGCCACTGTTCCCCCTCCAGCACTACTCCTTTTGGCAGGCCCTTCCTCAGGCTGAGAATCTCTCCCTCTACCTTGGTTTTCTCTCTCTGGCCAGCACTCCCACCCCTTACTTTGTTTTTAATTTTTAACTTTTGTTTGGGTATGTAGTAGATATATATGTATTTATTTATGGGGTACCTGGGATATTTTAACACAGGCCTACAATATGTAATAATCACATCAGGGTAAATGCAGTATCTATCACAACAAGCATTTATCCTTTCTTTGTGCTACAAACCCATTATGCTCTTTCAGTTATTTTTAAATGTACAATAAATTATTGTTGACTGTACCCACCCTGCTGTGCTATCTACTAGATCTTATTCATTCTAACTATATTTTGTACCCATTAACCATCCCACTCCCCCACTCCCCACTACCCTTCTCAGCCTCTGGTAATCATCATTCTATTGCCTCTCCCCATGAGATCAACTGTTTTAATTTTTGGCTCTCACAAATAAGTGAGAACATGCAAAGTTTGTCTGTCTGGGCCTGGCTTATTTCACTTCACATAATGACCTCCAGTTCTTTTCAAATGACACTATGGCTGAATAGTACTCCACGTACACACGTACACCACATTTAGTACACCACATTTTCTTTCTTCATTCGTCTGTTGATGGACACTTAGGTTGCTTGCAGATCTTGGCTGTTTTGAATAGTGCTGCAATAAACATGGAAATGTAGGCAACTGTTTAATACACCGATTTCCTTTCTTTTGGGTATATGCCTAACAGTGGGAGTGTGGAGCATATGACAGTTCTATTATATTTTTAGTTTTTGGAAGAACCTCCACATTGTTTCCCATAGTGGTCGTACTAGTTTACATTCCCACCAACAATGTACAAGGGTTCCCTTTTGCTACATCCTCGCCAGCATTCCTTATTGCCTGTCTTCTGGATAAGGGTGGGATGATTTGATTTGCCTTCATCTGATGACGCATGATGTTGAGGACTTTTTCATATACCTGTTTGCCATTTGTATGTCTTCTTTTGAGAAATCATTATTCAGATCTTTTGCTTATTTTTAAATTGGATTATTAGATACTATAGTTTCATAGTTTGAGGTCATAGATTTACGTCTTTAATCCTTTTTGATTTGATTTTTGTATATGGTGAGAGATAGGGTCCAGTTTCATTCTTCTGCATGTGGATATCCAGTTTCCCCAGAACCATTTATTGAAGAGACTCTCCTTTGCCCAGTATGTGTTATGGGTACCTTTGTTAGAAATGAGTTCACTGTAGATGTATGGATTTGTTTCTGGGTTCTCTATTCTGTTTCATTGGTCTGTGTGTCTGTTTTTATGCCACTACCATGCTGTTTTGATTACTGTAGCTCTGTAGTATAATTTGAAGTCAAATAATGTGATTCCTCTAGTTTTGTTCTTTTTGCTCAGGGTAGCTTTATCTATTCTGGGTTTTTTGTGATTCCATATACATTTTAGAATTGTTTTTCTATTTCTGTGAAGAATGTCATTGGTGTTTTGATAGGAATTGCATTGAATTTATAGATTGCTTTGGGTAGGATGGATATTTTAACAAAATTGATTCTTCCGGCTGGGCGCAGTGGCTCACGCTTGTAATCCCAGCACTTTGGGGGACTTTGGGGGGCCGAGGCGGGTAGATCACTTGAGGTCGTGAGTTCAAAACCAGCCTGATCAACATGGAGAAAACCCGCCTCTACTAAACATACAAAATTAGCCGAGCATGGTAGCATATGCCTGTAATCCCAGCTACTCAGGAAAGCTGAGGCAGGAGAACCGCTTGAAAACCCAGGAGGCAGAGGTCTCGGTGAGTTGAGATCGCGCCATTGCATTCCAGTCCAGGCAACGGGAGCAAAACTCCATCTCAGAAAAAAAAAAAAAATTGATTCTTCCAGTCCATGAACATGGAATGCCTTTTCCATTTTATTGTGTCCTCTTCAGTTTTTTGCATCAGTGTTTTGGTTTTTTTTGTTTGTTTGTTTGTTTGTTTTT